AGAGAGACAAGACAGAGAAAGACAGAGACAGAGACAGAGACAGAGACAGAGACAGAGACAGACAGACAGACAGACACAGAGATGGAGATGGAGATGGAGGCAGAGGGACAGACTGACTAAGAAGCAGGTAGCAGAAGCAGTAATCTAAAGTGACGGCTGCCTGGGCTGGAATCCTGGCTTAACCCCAACTTCACTATGAACTTTGGCAAACTGATCTTTCGTGGTATCTTTTGTTTCTCCATCCTTAAAATGGAGAAAACATTCAAACTTACTTTAACACTTATTATGGGGTATAATTAAATGTATTCACTGCAAACAGTGTCAGGCACAAAGTAAGTGCTCAATAAGTATTAGCTACTGTTGTTACTAGTTTTGGGGGGGTTTTTTGGATGCAGGGTCTTGCTACACAGTTCAGATTCATAGTGATCCTCCTGTCTCAGCCTCCCCAGAGCTAGGATTACAAGTGTGCATCACCCCACCCAGTTCCAGGGCTGGCACAGCATACCCAGTGTTCTGGGGCAGTACTGGGGATCAAACCTGGGTCCTTGTGCTTCCCAGGCAGGTACTCAGACGACCAAGCTAACTCCCCAGTCAGTTGCTAGTATTTTTACACCCAGACTTTTATGCATTTATTGGCCTACTTAGCCCTGTAGGCGTCTGTGTCTATTACTCTGGACCCAACATTACATCCCTGAGGGCTATGGACCTTAGCACCTCTTTTAGCATGCTTAGAGACCAGGAGGCCTGCCAGCTACAGTATTTGGAGTTCAGTCCCAAAATATTTAGTCTTCCAAAGTGCTAATTCTGTTTAACTCCAGTCAACAACCAAAGCCCCAGGATCGGGCCCCTCTGAGGGTCAGCCGGCGATCCAGAGCCCCGCTGCCCATAAGCCTCAGGCGTCTGGCCAGTGACCTCACTCTGGTCACAGCCTCAAGTGCTATGAAACCAGGTGTTCATCTGTGTGGGTGCTGGCCACTGCAGGGAGGAAGTCACGCCCACTTTCCACACTGTCTCCTACCTTCTTCTCTAAACACACACCCTGTGCTCACCACACGCGGCATAAAAACAACCACCACCGCAAACCAAGCTGATCATTTCCCAACCCACCAAATTGCAACCTGTCTATAAATAAAGGACAGCCTGGAGAGCAACTGTACTGTTCCGGCGTCTGAATTCCTGGGAATAAGGGACCCCAGTTCTTCTGGGAAAAGTAATTATGAATTCTCCAGAAAATTTCGATAGGGCTGGCCCTTAAATCTCAGAGTGAGAGTTCTCTCATTGTGCATGTTAGTGTGGCCAGGACAGGGAAAGGCACAGGAGGTCTTCAGGGAAAACCACCTGTCACTCATCTGTATCAACAGGGATGGGCGCTGGCTTCCTGTCTGGCTCAGCCCTCCAGGGACACTGGTAGATCCACTGTGAGTGACCCGAGGTCAGCAAAGCCCAGGAGGGTGGGCAGACTTAGCAACAAAATTACTCAGATAAGACTCCCAGATAAATTTGATTTTCAGATAAACAACAAGTTATTTTTAGTCTGACCATGTACCAAATATTGTATGAAACATACTGCCCGACGGTGGCTCAGACCTTGAAAGACAGCCTCTGCAAGACTGAGCTGGGCAAGGAGAGTCGTGTCCTCCGCCTCGGGCCCGGCTCCTGCACTCTGCTTAAAGCCAGAGCCCGTGGAAATGACGGGAGCGGAGGAAGGGGGAGAGGCAGAGCAGGGCAGAGGCGTGGCTAGCATGCCCAAGACCTGGGTTCAATCCCTAGCACTACACAATAAAAAGGAAATGTGGGTTTCGGGGGCTTCTAGACTTGGGGTCCCACTCCCTCGAGTGAAGGAGGCTACTGGGAGAGACCTCAGAAGTTACCCACGGGGTGCAGCTATGCCTTCCTGGTCATCACCACCTTCTGCACCCATAACGTTAGGCAGCAGGAGCCAGTCGCAAAACCCCAAGCCAAAAGATTTGGGTAAGTGACTCAGGAGAAACGACAGCCGATTGTTTGTAGCAAAGGTATGAAGCGATGCTAGGCCCAAAAGGAAAGACCCAATGCCTAGTTGAAAAAAGAAAGGACAAAGTACAGGAGCTTGAGGGTAAAAAACATTCATGTCAAGGTGGGTGGGCGGACACAGATGAAGAAGTCACGGTCAAACCAATCCCCGTCCGGCTTCCTTGGCTCCCCCGGAATCGCTAGGTAAAATTAAGGTGACACCATCCCTTCTTTACCCTCCTTTTCTTATGTAAAGAGTGAGAGTTCTAGGAGGCGCTGACAGACAGTATCCCAGATGGGTGCTGCACTATCCTCTACGGTGAAGACAGCAACACGCTGGGAACCAAGATGTGACAGCCTTCAGGGGGACGCACACGAAGCGGCTCCCACCGGCTTTCCTGCCTCCCTTGTATCACCTCCATCCCTTCTTCCCCCAAGAAGCCAAAACTATCCTAGCAGAAACCAGGAGGAACATATGCCCCCGTGTCCTAGAAATAGTTCCACCAGCTCATTCAAACCTCACTTATTAAATACCTTCACTGTAGATTGCCTAGCAGGAGACAACATTAGGTGAGATGTACACGGCTCCTCAATTCATGGCGCTTAAGATTCACTGCTCAGGTGATTCCTACTCAGGCATGACAAAGGTCCTTCTAAAGGAAGCCCAGATGCCGCAGGGGGAATCAACAAATGCGCCACAACCCGCAGCAGCCCTGAGGCTGGCAGGGGTCTTAGGAGGCGTCAGGGGAGGTGAAGAGTCTAAATGAGAGGAGCTCAAATAGTGGGGTGCATCCCAGTACCACGAGGCCAGTGAGGAGCACAGACGCTAGCCTGTGCAAGCAGGGCGTTTTTAGAAATTAAACAAAGCTTATTACAGAAAAGAGACCCATCGGGCTACCTCGTAGGCAGAGGCGACCGAGAAGCAAAGCCGGCTGCCCCATCGGCAGAGCAGCCTTGCGAAGAGGCAGCAGAGCCAGCTCCAGCCCAGGAAGAAACGGCCAGGCTGGCCGCTGCACAGTCCGCCCCAGGGAGCCACTTCACGAGGTCTCACCGGAATGTCACTAATTGTGGTTTCTCTCCGGAAAAAGCTGGAGTTTCCAAACTGGGTGGAGTTTAGTTACCGCACAAGGCTCTGGATTTTTTTTTTTTTTTTAACATGACAACATATCAAAGCTTGCGAAGCACAGCTCCACAGCAGCACAGAGTAACCTGCAGGCCGTGAGTAAGTGCAACCTGCCAGCTGCTTCTAGGAATCCAGTCAGGCCCCTTCACTCTCCTACTGTCCAGGCTGCTACGATGGCCCAAGGCAAAGTAACCAGGTCACGTCTCTTGGAAGGGATTCCTGTAAGTCTTTGGAGACCCCAGTTAGTGTCCTAATAGAGCAGTCATAAAATGTGAGCCTGAGCTGGAAGTGTAGCTCAGCGGCAGAGCATTTCAGATGGGGCAATCTCCAACAACGAGGAAATAAGTCACTAAACAAGAGCTAGCCTGGCCCCCCGAGTCATTTCTTGTCTTCTCCCGTGACTGCTCTCTCTCCCACCCATGGTCCCATCACGACGCTGTCAGCTACACTGCTGAGCAGCCTAGGGGATCCTCACAGAAGCTGTGCCAATCAGTCACACAGTCTTGCAACTTCTGCCTCCCAAACTTTAAAGCAAATAAGCTTCTCTTTTTATACATTTCCTAGCCTCGGGCATTTTGTTATACAACAGGAAATGAACAAAGACCAAAGCTATTAATATAGTAGGAGAAGCAAAGTCTACAGTATTGGAGGGTGACAGTCTACAGTATTGGAGGGTGACAAAGTCTACAATACTAGGGGGTCTGTGTATAGTAAGATGGGCTCCTCCTATTTCCAGAGGGCTTAGGAGCAAGCAGTATCTTCTCATTTTCAGGGTATCCTTGAGTCAGAGCCCCAAATCCATCACCACATCCGACCATAAACTTGCTGAAGTCAAAGCTTCCCACCACCAGGACTTCGGTGGCAAGAGCAGGCAAGTTGCTCATGGCAACCATGTCACTTACAGTAGAGCATATGCCACACACTATAAGCTCCTACAACTCACAACTCAAAGGCCTTACTTCTTGGCATTATTACCTCAACAAATGCCATGGTATATTTTTTTCTTGATGATAGGTATACCTACCTTCTTCCTCACCTCATCCACATTCGTACTTTTGTGTCTCCTCAGTTACGAAGTCACCTTCTTGGTAAAACTTCTACAGTCCCCTTACCATGAAGGCAAACTCTAGCATCACTTCTAGGGCCAGGCTTACCCTGTTCCGTTTAGGAAGGACAACGGGTGGCAATTCCCAGCACAGCAGGGACAGGGCTCTGGGCCCACTCACCTGGCTCCTCTACCACGGACAGGATGGACTTGCCACTGGAGTCTTCGTAGTACTGGAATCTGACAACACAGTCATCCTCATTCTTGTAGGTACAATTCACCGCATCTCTGCCAGAGTCCTCTGGGGCACAGGAGGGGAGAAGACGGAAACACGAGAATCCCGTCAATTTCTGGGTGGTGGGGTGGGTCTTTCTAAATCCCTATCGTAGGACTTCTAGGAATGTATGACAGGAAGCTCTGTGCCTGACCGAGGCACGATGCCTAGATTTGAGACAGCTGTCAGGCCTGGCAGTCACTGACCCTCACTAATCTACTCTGTCCCTAACAGGCTCATTTAACTCTCATTCCTTGTTCTGGAAGGGACATGCCACGACAGCACTGCACGTTCCAATTCCGAGCCTGCATCCACCACTTACCAACTGTGTGAGCTTGCATAAGTTATTTGATCTCATGGAATTTCTTTCCTCATCTACAAAACGAAAAGTATGCCCCCTTCTGGGGTTGGTGGAAAATGAAATGGCATACAACAGTCCCCAGCAAAAGGGGGGAACGCAAGCCAGTCATACTATTAGTGTCTCTTAGTTCATTAAAAAAGGTTTGTGCAAATATCAAATGGAGAAATTTTTATGCCATATCTTGTACCCTGAGTAACTACTTTAAAGGTAACATGTAATGTGTTAATCATTGATAGGCTCCGATTATTTTGTTCTGAAATTTTGTTTTACCTTTTTTTTTTTCATAAAATTAAAAAACAGTCCATAACTTACAGAAATCCCTGACCCTCACCACCTTTCTCTGCCTGCTCAGTGTCTCTCAATAGTTCGCTTACACAGCCCTCAGTGTTTTGCCATTTCGTGTCTGATCTGCAGTGCCTTCCCCAAGCCCACTCTCCGATCCCCATCAGTCTTGTGGTCTTCATTCCTCCTAACTCTAAAATCTGTTATTCTGCCCATGACACTGGGCTGGGGTTGGGGGTTACTCTCCACTAGTCATTGTGACCTGTACTGGTAAAAACAGACGGGAGAAACTGATGCAGACTGATACTCAACAAGAGCAAACAAACTGCCAAGATCGCACAGGACTGAAGCATGAGCCTCAGAGCACACCGAACAGAGATGAAGCGAGAAGCTCACCAAAGAAAACAGTGAAGGCTTCAGATTGGAGTTTTCATCTCGATGCCCCGCCCTTTCCCTGGGCAAATCAATCCTCCTGAGATTCAACTGTCCCATCCACAAAAACGCAGATAACAACACTACCACAGTTCTACCTCATTAGGTTGACAGAAAAATATACAGTGAGCAGGAAAGTTACTTGTATAAATTTCACAGTTACACATTTATACTTATGATTGTGGTGGTGAAGGGAGTAGGAGTTCTTATCAATCAACGCATAATACTTGCTTGATCTAAATGATAAAAATACCTGAGCATCTCTATGGCCTCTCCTCCCTGAATTAATCATAGGAAACCTTGTCTCCTCCAGAAAAGAAATTGCTTCTTCAAATAATCCCCACATCACCAGCCTCGTCCCAGGCCCACTTCTGCTGTCAGCTAACGGTCTAGAGACCTGGCTCTTTTCCTGAATGTTCTCATCAAAAGCTGACTGGCTGGCTATGCCTTCCTGTGACTCCCACTGATGGTATGTTTCCTGCCTTCGTGGGTGATTATCATGTCCTGTCACCATCCGGTGTCTCACTAGTCCAGACTACTTATCAGATGTGCTGACAGCAGCAAGGTTCATCTTCTTTAAAGTCAAGGTGAAACACACACCAGAATAACTGCAGGCAAGAGTTTTTGCTTCCTGACATCTATATTTTTGTCTGTCTTATTCTGGAGTGGGGAGGTCCTGAGGAGCACCAGATAGATAGAGGGTTTCAGGATAGAGATTCTCATCACGAGTTCCTAAGGGTGAGGGTTTCCCCCTACACCAGCAAAACTGAGCAAAGGCTGGGTATCCCTTTCCATTCTTAATAAAGTAAACCTGGCAAATCCATATCAGCCAACTAAGCTAAGCTGACGAAAACCACCTTCTGACTCTGGTCCTCGTTTCTTCTTCTGTAAAATGGGAGACCATCACCTTCTTTTCCTGGTGGGGGTGAAGCTAGGTTTTCCTGATTTATAACCCTTTACAAGTTGCACACAAGCTTTTGCTTTCTTTGGGCTCCAGGAAGCACAAGGACCAAAGAACACATTCACAGGGTAAAGGTGAACTCTCTGGAAAGCCAGATTTCCCCACAGCCCGCTGTGCATCAAGCATGACATGGGAATTTCACTTCCATGTTATAGATAGAAGGTGAACAGGTTCTGTGGGTGAACTAAAAACACTGAGAACTGAGGTACGGGTGCCCCTCAGACCTGCCCAACTTACTCAGCTCTTTCACAGGCTCAATCTCATCACGGCAGTAGCGGCTACAGGTGTTTTCCTCGTGGAGGATTCCGCGATCAAACTTCTTACACTCCACACACTCCCTACGAAGAAGGAAGCACCACAGAAGGTGAACAGCAAGCAAACCTCAGCGCATCAGCCCAGCTCTGACTCCACACATGGCGAAAGCAGCTCTACCTCAGTAAAATCAAACATCTGTAGTGTGGAGTTCAGCAGTGGGGGTCCCCTCCTCACCCACAGAAGATCTGGCAGCCAGATCAAGCTTCTTCATGTCCTATCTGGGTCTGAGATGGGACAATAACCCTTACACACTTCTGGGAGCCTTAAAGTCATAATCAGTCACATGTAAAATGAAAATGTTATTCAAACATCACTAAGAATTTCAATGAATGTCACTAAGTTTCAGTAGAACACTTAAACAAGCACAAGGTCCTTCCACCTCGGGGTCTGGCGCAGCTGCCGCACAGGCTGCGTGCCTGTGGACCCAGTGCTGCTTGGAGCATGAAGAGGAATGGCAGAGCCGTAGACCTGGCTGGAAGGGCTTCTCTGGTCCCCACGCAGGGGATGCGCTCGTGCCACATACTGTCCTCCGTAACTCCAACCCTTGCACCTCCTGGGTCTATCTGATCAGCTCTGGGATAGTCCAGAGAATATCTAGTTTAGCCTTCCAATTCTGAGCAATTCAGGATGTTCCCCAAGGACCTGGTTTGCCACAATTGGAGACTCCTTAGTACCACCTTGGTCTTCACAGGTGGCACCGCCTCCAACTTACCCAAAGTTTTCACTGGAAAGGGACAAGAGGCCATGGAGCTGGAACACATTCAGGAACCTTCCAAGTGGAGAATGCTAGTGTAGAGATCCCAGCCTCTCTCCCTCCCCAAACCACCACTCACTTCTTAAAGGTGCAGGCATCCGGGCAGGTGGGACACTTCTCACAGGTGTCCCCATAAGATCCTGGCTGGATGCAGACGCAGCTGCCGCACTCGCACTTGCCCCGGCCGCTGCACAGCAGCCCGTTGCTGGACATGCAGGTGTCCGTGCGCGTGGTGCAATTGCAGTAGTAGCCAGTCCAGTCAGAATCACACAGGCAGTCCCCGCAGCTGCACTGGCCATGGCCTGCAAGCACACAGCCCAAGAAGTGGACAGGACGGAGAGGTCCCGGACCCGGAGCAGCACCTGCAGACTGGCACCACACTCCCAACCAGACAGACATCAATCCTCGGGGTTGGCAGGCACATTGCTCACTAGCAAGGGACCCTTCTCCCTAGGAGCAAACTCAGATTTCTAGGGGTCTCCAAGTGTAGCAGGACTTGGTCCAAGTCACTGCAGAGCAAAGGAGTCTCAGGATCTGTCCAGACCTCCCAATTCCTCCTCCTCCTTCTGAATCACTCTAGCTTCTCAATCAGCCAGCTTGAATCCAAGGACTAGAAGTCCACCTTTTGGCCCCGAGGGCAGGCACAGCACTCTGCCACAGTCTGCACCTGCACAAGGCACTTGGGATCCTTGACCATGTGGTCTGATGATGGCAAAGGAGTCCTTAGGCCCCCAAATTCTCTCGCTTTAACCTAACAAGACTGCCCACTTCCCTGACCTGATCTGACCTGAGGGGCCTTTGGCTGCCATCATTCATCCTCTCGAAGTTGGGTCCAACACCAACACAGCCTTCGGTTCCTCCCCCTAACAAACAAGCTATCGATATGCATGATTCCACTTCTCAAATCAGCTAGGTGCTACCTCGTAAAGGGAGAGGCTAGGCTCTGGGGAAGTGCACACAAGACAACACCTGCACTCTAGCAAGTGAGGGAATAGCAAGGTCCAAGCACAGGGCCGTGCCCAAGGCCTGGAGAGGGGATGTATGAACGTCTCACACTTACAGGCTGCTGGGGTAAGGCATCCAAAGGACAAACAGAAGGTGCTAAAAGCCCACTGAGGGCACAGAAGCACAGGGAACAAATGTAGCCCACCTCCCAGCCTGCTGAGGAAGCTAACACATTTCTGCCAGCTTGAACCAAAGGTGGAATATTCATGACTGTCCCACTAGAGGACATACTCTACCCGATGGGACAGTCATGAGGGTTCAGAACCACCCAGCAGTGAAACAGATCAACTACATTCCCATCATGAATAGACTAAATAAATCCTGTTATTATAGACAGTTAAGTTGGATACAAATAACTAGATGCAGTCAGGCAGGGTTAGGCCCTAAAAGGAATTAATGAAAAAGATAAGAATGCATTACATTGGTGTTTGTAAATAGCTTCACAAGTCCACTTCGTGTACAGCAATTAACCACTAAGAAGAATATATGCAGTGTATTATTTGTTGAAAAAAAAAAAAAAAAGAATGCATTACAATTGCAAGAGGCATACCAGCTGAAGGCCAGGCCTCAAGGTAAAGATGGAATGACTACACCTACATACCTCCCTGAGAGATAAAAAGCCACGACCGATACTTTAAATGGTATCAGTCACTCAGGCGGGTGGCCAGGACCTCCAGACTCATCTCTTCCTAAAAGGTCCTTGCTCTTCCCACATACACTAGCCACAGGACTTGCTTCCCCACTGGATCAGTATTACCCAAGCAACTGTACTTGTAATCTTATTGGTTGACCATAATTTTGTCCCCCATTGCACCCACCCTGTGATTTTGTACCCATCCGGTGATTTTGCTCCATAAAACTTCCTTTGAGATGTAGGCTTCTTGACAACTCACTTTCTAGGTCCCCTCCTGTTTCTGTCAGGCAGGAGCTATCTGTCCCTCAACAAAATGTTCTACTCTTAACCTCTGTTGCTCCTCAGAATTCATTCTTTGATTTTAGGGAACACAAACTCAGTATACCAGACATCCAGCAGGTTAAGTTATAATTTCCCTGGTATCATTGGAGGTCCCAGCAAGATAATTGGAGGGAGGTAAGAGTTTGCTCTTGTTTCATGGATTTTTGATTGTGACTCATTTAGGTAACCATAAATTGCCATCTTTGTTTGTCAATTGCTTAAGAAAGGGCATAAAAATTCTTGGTTTTTTACATATTGTTGCCTTTGTTTGTTTGTTTGTTTGTTTAAAAGACAAATTTAAATTGAAAACATGGAAAGATTATGTCTCTTTGATGAGCCACTTTGCTTTTGAGGGCAAGATCCTATGTTCTCACTTTATATACTGCATTTGGACTTACCAGTTGTCGAATTTACTGGTGTTCCATGTTTGGTATATTTGACTGTTGTGGTTTGTTATCTTAACCCAGCAGCGCTGGAAGAAGTAGCATTGGACTACCCCCTAATGGATGTTGATACTAACCAAAATGTGAATTTAGGACATGCTGTAAAATGGGTCTTTTATGAAATCTAGCTTATATGTAAGAAATATACATACCTATTTGCCAATTAACAGGCCATAGGCTGACAACTGTTCTTAAGACTGGAGGACAGGTTTCACTGGGACAGTATGGCTCAGTCCCCCTCGATACTCCAGAGGGATTATCAAGCCTATTCCGCCTCAGTTTGTTTGCTGATTTGATCTTCATGGTGGTTCAGAACCACCCAGCAGTGAAACAGATCAATTACATTCCCATCATGAATATGCTAAATAAATCCTGTTATTATAGGCTGTTAGGTTAGGTAGAAATATTATATGCAGTCAGGCAAGGATAGGCCCTAAAAAGAATCAATGAAAACGATAAGAATGCACTACAATTGCTAGAGGCACACTGGTTGAAGGTCTAGGACCTCCAGACTCATTTCTTCCTAAAACGTTCTTCTTAAAGGTCCATGTTCTTCCCTCTTTTCCCCCTCACTCTCTTTCAAAAAACTGGAAAGCAGTGGTGCAAGTCTACTGACTATTAGTATTGCGAAGGGTGCTCTCTTTCTTTAAAAATCACTGTTATAACTGCAATCAATTGTAGCTTGTGCTTCTAGAAACATATGCTAGAGTTAGGGGTGTGAGTTTCCAGGAAAGGTAAGAGTCTGAGTCAGGAAGGGTGACTGGTCCAACTGACTTGTCTTCTGGTCACTCTCCAGATGGCAGTCTGGAGCAGATCAGCTCAGGGGATGTCTTGAGAGAACACAGAAACCAAGCAGAGATTTAAAGGAATGCCTGCTTTCCTTTTGTGTTGCAGGTGGAAACTCAATACCAAATTCTCTTACTCCTTTAAAATTCACTCTTAAGGACAGGAATTTGTTCAACCCTCATATGCTAAGAAAAAATCTGTTTAATATTTTTCTGCACCCACACATGGCCTGACTGGAGAGAGAGGGAAATGGCCCGAATCCCCTTATGGTCAGACTCCCTTTGCATTAAGAGATAATCCCGACTTTTGCTGAAAATGTAAACGCAAGCCACAGGTACACCAGACACCGCTGGTCCTTAAGGCACATTCAGATGCATCCACGACCACTGAACCTGAGGCTCCCCTCCCTTGGCTTTTGGATCCTGAGGATAAGGTTTCCAAGGCAACCTTGCTCAAAGCCACTACTACTAAGCCTCACACAGATCAAACAAGATGTGGGAAAGCTGGCAGACGACTCTGGTAAGTGCACTGAGGTCTTCTGAGGACTTGCTCAGATCCATAAATTGGACTGGAAAGATGTCATGTTGTAATGTCGAACAATGACTTCTAAGGAGAGACAACCAGATTAAAAACGATTACATTTGGAGATGAATGTCATACTGTTAATTATAGAAGACCAGAAGAGAGAGGAACAGCTGGTTCCTACTGAAACAATCCCTACTGGCCTACCAACTAGAAGGGAGACTGCAACAGGACACATCTTCAGACGTATTCTTGAGGGCCTAAGGAGGATGAGAACTGAACCTTTCATCAGGAGAAAGTTGAGGATCCCTCTGCCTTAAATCATTTACAAGAGGAACTGATAAAACATACATCACTGGCTCCTGATTCTATAGGGCAGATTATTCCAAAAGGCAAGCTTATTACTCAGTCAGCCTCAGATATTAGGAAAAAGGTACAGAAGGTGGCTCTTCTCCAGGTCACTCACTCACACTTTGATGAGGATACTTCCTCAGTATTTTGTAACTGGGACCAGGAGGAGGCCAAGGGGAAAAGACAGACCAACAGGAAAAAGTACGTTGGTTGCAGACTTAAAAGGAATAGACCCTCAGCGTGATTATCGGGACGCTAAGCGCTAGACAACTAAACTCACCTGCTACCGCTGCAGAAAGCCAGGCCACGTTAGGAGGGGCTCTGATAAGAACTGTCACGACAAGAGGCCCCCTGAGCCACCGTGACCACTGGAAGCTGGACTGCCCCCGAGGCAGGGGGCCCAAGGATCCCGCTCATCTTACCAGCTGCTGCGGCAAGGCTGACGGCCCCGAGGCACTTCCTGCTCTCTCCCGCTGGCTGGTCTGTCCTCTCCATAGAGAAGCTCCACATAACCATTACTATAGACAGACGGTCTATTGTTGGACACTGGCGGGTGTCTCTTGGTCCTTCTTTTCAACCCTGGCCTTTCTTCCATGGACTATACTACCCTGGAGAGGGGGTAACTCGCCACTTCTCACACTATTAGGCTGTAACTGGGATGGCTTTCTCTACTCCCATTCTTTTTTAATTATGCCTGAAAGTCCAGTTCCCCTCCGGAGGAGAGAGATCTTATCATGCTTGAATAACATAATACACATGCGCGCGCAGGTCAGGTACTCAGCCTTCCTCTCATGCAGACAATAAATCCTGAAGTACAGGCAACTAAAGGTGGAATAGGAAGAGCCGTAGGAGCTGCCCTGGAGCAAATGCAACTCAGAAATCCTACAATTTTTCCTCACTAGAGACAAAACTGAGGACGAAAGTTAGAAGAGGCCCACTGCCTATAATCAAAACCATTAGGGCACAAGGTTCACTCCACACTGTCAAGGCCCTGCAACTCTCCGCCAGCCCAGTGGGGTGGTGCTTGGCACAGGACCTCAGACGGGTAAATGAGGCGGCAGTGCCAATCCACTCAGTGGTACCTAACCCTACACTCTCCTTTCTCAGATCCCAGAACAGACCGGGTAGTTTACAGTAGAAGACTTTAAATGTGCCTTCTTTTGCATTCCTTCACCTACAGATTTCCTGTTCCTTTCTTCCTTTGAAAATCGCTGTGACCAGGCCCGCCAACTGACATGGC